AACGGAACCACTGCAAAGCAGTGCCTCCAATTCCTAACCCTCTCAAGCGGTCCAAAAGGATGGAGTGATCTGTTGTATCAAAGGCCGCTGAGAGGTCCAAGAGCACCAACAGGGTCACACTACCTCTGTCAATACTCAAGCGGAGGTCCTCAGCCAGAGCAACCATGGCAGTCTCAACTCCATATCCTGTCCTGAATCCCATTTGAAATGGATCTAGATAATCGATTTCATCCAAGACCTCCCCCTGAGGCTGAGATCAAAGGAGCAGAATGGTATAGTGGTTTGAGCATTGGACTACAACTCTAGAGGCCAGGGTTCAAATCCTATCTTGGCCATGAAACCCACTGGGTGATCTTGGGAAAGTCCCACTCTCAACCTCAGAGGATGGCAATGACAAACCTATGAAGAAACATGCAAAGAAAACCCCAAGATGGGTTTGCCTTAGGGTTGCCATAAGCTGGACTTGAAGGCACACAACAATGAAGCTGAGAGAATGTGACTTGTCCAAGGTCAGACAATCAAGCCCCTAACCAGATTTGGTTCAAAAGGGACACAAATGCACCAAAAGTGTCAATAGATTTATGGGTGTGCTATTGGCCATTTCTTAGATACCAGATTTGGGAGCAAGGGAGACCTTGGGGGCCACCAAAATGGCTTTATAAAACCTAGAATCATAGAGTTGGAAAAGAACCCAAGGGCCATCTAGTCCAGCCCCCTGCCATGCAGGAACTCACAACCAAAACACACCTGACAGATGGCCATCCAGCCTCTGTTTAAAGACCTCCAAAGAAGGAGACTCCACCACTCTCCAAGGGAGTGTGTTCTACTGACAAACAGCTCTTACTGTCAGGAAGTTTCTCCTAATGTTTAGGTGGAATCTATTTTCCTGTTTGCATCATTATTCTGTGTCCTATTCTCTGGAGCAGCAGAAAACAAGGTGGCTTGAGGTCCAAATTTTCTCTAATCCTGATATAATGGAAATCATGGAGATATGACACCTTCCTTTCACATCCTAATCCCACTTTTTAAACTGCTGTAGCCTATTCAACTTTACCATTTACTGGCTGGTAGAGTAGAGAGTTGTGTGGAAACATCAAGCTATGTTCCTATAGCTGGATGCACAGCAGTGACATCATCTTCTGGGATCTCTAGAGGACCCCTGAGAGGTCCTGAAGCATGCCACTGTGCCATTTAATGGGTGTGTTGGGAAATTTACAGCAGCTTGAAAGGTAGCTTTGGTGGGGTTGGTTATTTTGCAATTGTACTGAATTCTGAACTCCACAATGATCCAAAAAGTGAGTTACCAAGCCTTTATAAGTTTCTAACAGAAGGCCAACTTATATTTAACAGATATAGGGCTTCCGCAGACTGGCCCATAGGGCCAGCCTGGAGGTAGAGTTGGGTCAGGGCAGCTGCACACTGGCTGCCCCAACCCCACGCCCATGCCATTCTGACACCGCATCAGAACGTCCTCCTGGCACAGCATTCTGACATGCTACACTAAAAAGGGCGAGGAAGAGTCACACGCCAACTCTTAGAGCTGCCTCCCCTAAAAGAAGTGGTATCAGGGATGATGGGAGTTGTAGCTCTT